GTTGACCGTTGTTTGGTTGACGTGCGTTGAAATTCCGTTGATTGTTTGATTGACGATAGTTGGTGCGCTGATTTGAGTTCGTGGCTGGAAATTGGTTGCTAGATTGAGGTTGAGGTGGTGAGCTTTGATTAAATGAACGATTAACGGGTCGAAATGAGTTAGACTTGTTATTAGTTCTGCGGTTGACTTGGTTATTGACTTTGTTGACTGAGGCGGGTTTAAGTTCGCTGGCAATTGTCTCGAAGTTGCGAACAAACTTGATGGCATCCTCCAGGGTTAAGTCGCTTTTCTCCCGCAACTTTTTCTTGAGGTTGACGGAGTTGAGCCCATTTACAAATTTGACTAGGAGCCTGTTCTTGAGGTTGTCTCCAAAGTTGCATTTGTCTGCAAGAAGTCTGAGAGAGGTTAGATACACTGCAGCAGTTTCGCCCTCTGCTTGAACTCTGGATTCAAACTTTAGAATATCGGAAAAAAGGATCTTGTTTGGTTCGTAGGTTTCTTGGAGGAGTGTGACAAGTTGGTCAAATGATTTGCTTGATGGTTTCTCAGGCAACAATTGAGTTCTTAGTTCTGAGTAAACGTCAAAGGATAGGTAGTTCAGAAGTACCTTGCGTTTGCTGGATGCCTCGGTGATTTCATTGAGGTCGCAGAAGTTCTCGAGCATTTCTAGCCATGTTGACAGGGAGACTTTGGCTTCAAAGGGTTTCAGAGTTCCCACATACGTTGCTGTGGTTGCAGGAAGCGTCCGGTTGGGTAGCTCTTGATTTCGATCGTTCATTTTTCGTACCTAAGGATAAGGTTTTCGACTTTGACGGGTTGCACGGTAGCCACGGCCACGCGGTTCACTAGGTTAGCTTCGCTTGACACGGTTATTTCGGTTTCTACAAGTGCTTTGAGTAAAGGTGACCGGCGCGGCGCGGTTGGTTGACAATAAGTAAAACGATTTTTTAATCCTCGTCGCCAATGATATATTTGGTGGACTCGAAACGGGAAGACAAAAAAAGATGAGACAAACGAATGCAGAGATGACGAACCAAGTGAGATTTATTCAGACGACATTGCTTAAAACGGTTCGACCGGTGTGGCGGGCAATTCAAACATAACACCACAGTCCTGAAGAATCAGCGCTTCCGGCTCTATTGGGACGACCCGATCTTAACTGATAAAACTATCATGGCTCACAGGCCGGACATAATGCTTGTTGATAAGCGAGATTGCACCGCTTACATCGTCGATGTTAAACCATCATGGCTTACAGGCCGGACATAATGCTTGTTGATAAGCGAGATTGCACCGCTTACATCGTCGATGTTAACATCCCTAATAATCATAACTTGGAGCTGACGTACCAAGAAAAGATAAGTATCTGCCCTTGGCTGCGGAAATGAAGCAATTATGGATCCTGAACATTGTTTGCATCAAGCCCCTAACAATGTCAGTAACGGTGATCGCTCCAAAAAGTGTAGTTAAACATCTTCGAGACCTTGGAATACAGAGTTACCTGCTTCATTCAATGCAGAAGTCCGTCGCCATGAGCTCGTCAAGTATTGTAAGGTCTTGTCTCAATATCGATTAATTTTTTTTTAATTTTTCTTTACCAAGTTAGTGTGTATTACTGACTTTGGCCCATGCACGGAAAACAATCTTTGGTGCTTATAGCCAGATAGTAGGTGACATTTACCATCTTGGATTCCCAGATTCGACCCCTGAGAACAATTTTGCTACGAGCACAAATGTATGATGGTTAGAAACCTCAAACTGCGATCAGGTAGGCGTTGACAACAAAGATGGTAATTCGCACCAACACAGCTGGGCGGGCGCGCCGTCCTCCGTAAACGTCCCGCACAGCGTTGCTGAGATAGACCTTCAAAGATGGTAAACTGACCCATCCGGATGTTTAGTGTATCAATCATGAAAGCAAGGAGAACCTAATATTTTGTGTTTTTAGCCATAAAGAGGAGTATTTTCTTGTAAAACGTACAGCTAAAAAAATTGAATACAAAGGTGTGCAATGTCGGGGTTCGCAGCTAGGGGATGGTGGAAAAGGGTTAATCGCGTAAATAAATTTCGAAATCGAGTAAAATGAGACTACAGTACTTATTATTTGTATGAGGTGCTGTAGTCGTATCCGACCTATCAACTTTGTTTGCCTACCGCGGGAATGGAACCTGGGACCTATCATACCCTAGCCGAAGACCCTAACGATTGAGCTATACAGTATGATGAGAATCTTGACCGAAAAACCTGTACATAGCTTCGATTTGAACGGGAAACCAGGATATTCAATCTACATACTTAGATTGGTTCATTCATTTTTCTAATTTTTGTATTTCATTTTATTTTTTAACGTTATTTCAGTTTTTTACTTTATTTTTTCTTTACGTAATATAATTTTTCTTTGATTATTTCTTTTTATTTATTTACTTTATTTTAATTTTTTTCCTTTGTTTCTTTACTTAATTTTAATGGTTTACTTTATTGGTTTTTCTTTACTTAATATTATTTGTCTTTGATTATTTATTCTTTATTTCTTCCCTGTATTTTACCGTTACTTACTTTATTTTATTTCTTGCAATTTTTTATTTTTTTACTTTAATTCAGTCACTTCATTTTAATTTTTATAATCCATTAAATGTCTCTTTGTTGTTATTTATAACTGCATTTTATTTATTTATTTTTTCTTTTTTTCTTTTCATGTCGAGAATCAATTCAAAGTTTTCAAACTAGGATTATTTTTATGATTGGCTAAAGTGCTTCTAGCATTGGACAAATAAGCCCAGGCTACTTACTTGAACAAGTGAGATTATGTAGAATGGAAAATAAAAAAAATTACCCCTCTAAAGTACTGAAGCCTTGACATGGTGTCAAATATAGTGCATGCCTAGCCTACTGGTAAACCTGGGATGTTTAGTTTAACGACAGCATACAATTGACAAGAAACATTGTTAAAACATTAGTAACAATTGATACATTTCTGCCATTTCCTTGGAATTTTGAATATAGAAAAAAATTGATTTTGAAAACTATTATTAGTACCATGGGCCTTTGGCCACTACGCTGGTCGCTGCTGAAAACCAATGCGGAAGAAAACAACATACGTAAAAAGTCGTAGAACAACCGTGTTCAAGTTATCTCGGAGATTAATGGATTCAAATACCGTCAATGTTTTATTTCTGATCAATGTTTTTAAAAGAATACACACTGTTATTCTAATGAGTTTCCGCAAATTTTCCTGAGTGATTTAAAATAGATAAAAGAAAATTTCACTTAAAACGCATAATATCCGAAATCTAAGCTCAGATTCGGCTTCCTCGTGAAAAATCGATGCAATTTCATGTATCATATGTCACCATATCATGAAGGAAAGAGATTAACGTAGGCGTGTAGATTCTAACATATCAGTCCGACGTGGCAACATGGGTGATTCGGAGTGGGTCAGCTGATGAGTAAGAAGAAGTTTGTTTTCTCGGAAACGGACGAACCAAACGCTTGGCGCCGGCGCCTGGCGGCGTAGCTCAAACGTTTGGGTTCTGTGCCTACTTCCGCATACCGGCCGGCTTTGATAGAACCTTTACGCCTACGATTACCCTCTTTTCTTTATGCTATGGTAAAATATTATACATGAAATAGCATCGATTTTTCACGAGGAAGCCGAATCTGACAATGAGCTTAACTTTGGGTATGATGCGTTTCAAGTTGAATTTTCTGAATTTGAAAATTTAAGACGGCGGACGTAGCCTAAATTGATACATCGGCTCCCATTCCATCGATGAAATTCGAATGTTTAGTCTAATTTCGAAAAACCAAGGTGGCAGGCGTGGCCTAAAACGCTATCTCGGTTCCTGCTCGTCGGATCATCGTAAAACTTGGTGCCAATGGGAGGGAGGGGGAGGAAAGAAATATTCAAACACTGCAATCGATATGTCGCAGGCAAATAGTAAAATTAGGCATTTTGTCAAATGCCTAGGCAAATACTCAAATACTAGGGGGCTATGCCCCCTGACCGCTACGCGGTCCAACCCCCTGAAGGCGCTCCGCGCCATCAATGGGCCGCTTCGCGGCCCTGTTTTTACCTCCTATCAGTGTTAGTTTTATTTTTCCCCTCAAAAATTACGATATGAGGTATACTTTACTTTTAGAATGAAATAATTTTTTGTTTTGATGAATATTTTAGTTCGTTTTAATCCGTTTTTTTTTATATCAGTGAAAAATTTAACATCGTCCGAGTTTTCTGAATTGTTGTAATAAATGTCCTTTAATTATCATTAAAATCGAGCAGAGTCAAGAATAATTAATTGCTCGAAGTCATATAGTTTTGCGGCGACTTTACCGTCGCCCGACCCAGGGACGGGAAAAGGAGTACGCTCCACGAACATATTATTACACGCTTATCAGTCACACAAGGTGGGTCGAATATGAATTCTTGAAAATTTATCAACATACTTTCCCTAAATAGCCCATATCTGATTGCTTTCTTTGGTGACTCAATGTTGGTAAAGCGTAAAAAATTGAGGGGGCAGACTACTAACAAAATACTTTAATTGAGTTATCTGAAATGGTGACCTTCATAATCAACAAGTTTATATTTGTGTCATAATTCTAAGGCTATTATTTTTTTTTTAATTTTTCAAATTTCGTTAAATTTAATTACTGTGTATTCAAATCATTTTTTTCGAGCCGAAAACGATAGGGACAACTTGTTGCGGAGTAAGACCAAAACAGGTGAACCCCAAAAGAAGGATCAAATAGGACCAACTTCAATAATTGTTTTTCTTAATTTTGGAAAAACCCTGATGCTTCTGGTGCTTCAAACTTTCAACACTGATTCCTTTTGGTACATTGGCGACGTTTTAGGCGCTTTTTGGAAAAATCGATGGACGAATAAAAAATTAATTTTTTGCGGTTTCTCGATAGCTAACAAAACTGGCGATAATGTTTTATTTTTTATAATATTTTTTCCCTCATTTTTTTCCACGTATTTCAAAACGAAAATAACCGACCTGTCTGTGCGAAGAATTGGTGTGCGTGCAACCGATGGTCGAATGTCCACAATACAGGAGATCGATCCATGTTTCAGGAACCAAGGAATCGACAACCGGCTCGCATTGCGGCGTCTGGAACATGAGCGTGGCCGTAACTGGTGTTTCCGGATACGTCTGGATCTCCTGCGGGTGCAACGTCAGGCTAGCGCCGAGCCAGCGCACCTCCATCTCGTATATCTCTTCCGCCTGCGAAACGCATGGCAAATTGTCATATATACGCGATTAAGGAAGGTTAAAGGAGGCCCTCAAAGAGAAAATAAGAGTACTCATTAAACAGGAAAAGTGCGTGACTACCAGACCAGACCTTCCCGCGCTTTCTTTCAGCCAATCAGACACCCGATGACAAATTTTTCATGTTTTGTGGAAAATAGAGTCCCTTCATACTGAGAGTTGAGACAATGTGAATCCATTTCTGATTGGTTCCCGTATATTAGACCTTCACAGTGTCATAAATGGGAATAAAGATTGCATTTTCACCGATTGCAAAGATTATAATCTGGAATGGACCGGGGAATTACGGGTTCGGCAAGGAACAGACGGAATGAGAGAAGGAATGGAGAAAGGAATTTGAGAATGGGCCGATCAAAGATTACGAAAAACTTTCAATTTGTGTAATCTTTATTCCCGTTTGTGACTCCACGAGGGGGGGTTGTCTTGACTCTCAGTATAAAGGGACTCTACTTTGATAGCCTAAGGGGGGGGGGGGGGGGGGTGTCAGGACTCTCAGTATTAAGGGACTCCAGTGTAAAACATAAATGTTTTTCAAATTCAGTCAATTTTTCGGAAAAACATATGTTCACGACTGACTTTTCAAGGATTTGGCGTCTCTATTACTGTTTAATACATTCCATTCATTTCAAAAAAAAAAAAAACCACCAAAGGTCTAAATTTCAGAGATTTCATTTTTTTTTCCTCCGGGTCGATGTTTTAAAGCAGAGAGCTGACGGGACAGTCAAAACCAACGACTCGAATGGAACAGAATTGGAAAACAACAGGGTCGATTCATGATAGAATTTATCTTACTTTCGATCTGTAAAACGAGGGGTATCGATAAGGGCCGTGATCGGAACCACCCTGAATTTCCTCAATTCTACCATTCCTTGCTCGTTGAAAGTCTAGATTTTACGAAATATACTTGGTCATTTTTGGTCTCTTTTTGGATCTAATCCTGGCCTAAACATGGATCGGAAGGTCGATTAAAAAGTCACATTTTTCGCCAAAATCGGCCTTCAGACCTTTGCTTGAGCCAGTGTTAGACGTGTAAAAACCGGATTTTATCCTTATAAGGAAATGTGCAGGTCGGTAATAGACCCAACCGTGCCTGGAAATGACCAAATCATGACGGTCAATGGGCCAAAAATTGTAGAGTTCAGGAAATTTAGCTAGGATAGGCCCAAAAAACGGCCCTTATAACTCCTCTTTTACCATATTATTTATTTTTCATAGATTCCGTACATCAAAAATTTCTGAATGAATCTCAATTTTTCGTGGTTTGATTGTTCCTTCATCTTCCTTAAGTATGTGGCGGCAAGCCACCCGTTCCGCCAATCAGCACTGCTCATTGGCTATACCTCGCAACAGTCGCGGCTATACCACTCGATGAGCACCTTTCATAGCTCAAGCGTCCAGCCCACAAGCAAACTGGGGCTCTCAAACTAGCATTATTTCTTTAATTTCTCGGCCATTTCTGCACAAAATTCCTCGAAAATTTCAACATCTGATCTGTAATGTGTCCCGAACACATCGGTTACCCTCAAAGATCGTCGGCCCGACGATCTTTGAAAGACAACAGTCAACAGTTCCATCGATGAGCCTCTTTGAAGCCCCTAGTTTGAAGGTGGGCTGGACGCTTCAGTCCATACGTACGCAGTCAGACACTCTTTTCAACAAAAAAAAACCCCGACTGCAGCAATCAATGCTGTAATTGCGAATCCTGACGATGGAGGAGGGACAAGGACACTAAAGTTGTTCCCAGATTATGCTGAAAATTTACCACACATCCCCATCCAACTCAATGTAAAATATCCAGATTTGTTCACATAATCTGGCAACTTTTGGCACTTACGTCCTCCGAGTCGGCGTGTTCATCTCCAGGGTATTGAGCAGTCGGGAAAGAAGGCACTTGGGCTCTGAACTCATTGGCCGGAAGCACGGAGTTGGACGTGCTATGATCCGCCTCGTCAATACGGAGTCGAACCCCGTACTTTCCTCCTTGGGTGATGACTCCGCACGGGAACTTTACCACTACCATCTGAAATTAAAAGTTACCGAGCCCATTATTGAGAATTAGTGGAAAAAATAGAATGTCATGGTGAAACAGTAAAAAGAGAGTATGGATTCGATCGACACGAATCGGTCGAAAAAGGAGGACGTGAACCAATCGACAACGATTTGATCTCTGCAGTTGCGGCATGATTTAAGATAGGACATTTCTTGTCTTATTCTGCCGACATAGTTTCATAACCGGGCAGCTGATCGATCGAATGGAGTGATGCGACTATTTTAACAGGAGAGCAATGCGGTATTGCCTACACAAATATCTGAAGGCATTCCTGTCAGACCGCCGAGCCGTTACACTTTACCTACTTGCAGGGCCGGATTTAGAGGGTGGCCACACGGGCAACGGCCCATGGCTGCAAATTTAGGGGGCGGCAAATTTTGAAATTGTTTTAAATGTATAGGTATGAAAAAAAATTACAAACGAGAAAAGGCGACAAAATCTTTCATTCCCTGAGAGTATAGTAATTTCTACTTTTGTCATTTTGCGGTGATACAAGAGACAGCACCTTCAATGAGTCGATGTTATGAGAGAAACCAAACACGCAATTTGGCCTGGAGCGGCGCGGCGCAGAGAGCGATGATGACGAGGACTTGAGATGAAAAGGGTAAGCCCTCTCGGCGTGGCGGTCGGCATGTAATACATATTAGTGCCCACAAGACTGCATGAATATTTCACGCATAGCATTAAACACAACGCGGTCAGCAGCGGTCTACGTGTAACACTTAGCGCCTACAAGACTGCATGAATACTTCACGCATTGCGTCAAACGCACGGCGTTCAGCAGCGGTCGGCGGCGCGGCGTGAAACGCAAGGCGCCTACAAGACTGTAGGAATACTTCACGCATTGCGCAAAACATAGTGCGATCAGCGTGGTGGCGCGGCGGTTGAACTTAAAATTATTAAACCACATTTATGTTTGTTCTTTCATTATTTCTTCGTTCATTTCTTATGAATGGAAGGCCTTGTCCAGTGTCCACACAGAGATAGGTTTACGGAACTTAACTTTCGCGCCGAGTTCCGTGAATTTTTGCTAGTAGTGTTGGCAGGGCTTTCGCAAAAAATGTGTCCAACACGAGTTAACGCGTCTTATGCACCCCTCTCCGTCCGGCAAGCTCACATGATAGTTTTTATTGATGTTTCAAAACGAATGAGAAAGAGGCGGCAATATACAGGGCGTCCCATGGGCGGAAAGTAGGTAAATCCGGCCCTGCCCACTTGTCCCATCCGTACTTGAGTACAAACCAAGCGATGGAAGCATAATCGCCCAAGATAGATTAAATGTTAGTAATTCGACGAAATAAATGCGGATATCATGAGGATTTCTGTTGAATTGTGAGCACCTGTTATTCGAAATCAATACGTCCAGTTCTTAAACGCACTTGAAAATAAATCAACCTTTGTCTTCATTCTCTTACTATGTATGTATTGATGACTGGCGTCACTCAGATCCTCATGACTCTCGAGCACCCTTCTTCCCCCCTAAATCAATGGAAATTTAACATGTTTAAAATTTAGAAGAGAATGTGCGGGTGTCTGAAATTTTGTGAATTTCATATTTGAGAAAACTAAGCATATGATAATATCCTTGATTTCTAAAATGAACGATTGTTAGAGGAAGTATGCCCAAATTACTTAATCTGCTATAATACATGTGTTTAAAAGGGAAATTCCGCCTTCACATAAGGCGGCAGATTTTCTCACATTAAAATTTATTTAGGTATCTACCATTTCCAAGTATCAGGAAAAAATTGTGTGCGAATGCAGCCCGTTGAGCGCTCTTAGATGAAGCAATACAAATTTTTCGTGCTTTTTCATTATAGTCAACTTCACTATACTGATAGATTTGTAAGTGTGCCGCTTCAAAACCGGTGCGCCTCCTGTCCCCAACGAGTTGTCTCAGATAGCTATTCGAGGCCCGAATCTACGAGAGGTCACGATGTCTCGGCCTCGGCGCAGATTTTAATGCTTTTGGCTTCAAAGGGAAGCTTACGTAAAACTAAAGTTGACGGGTTTCAGCATTTTAATCGATGGACCTCTGGAAAACTCCTACAGCCCCCCCCCCCTAACCAATCCCGTATTTTCGGCGGAAATACTGTGTGATGTGGTTACCACTTACCTTGGTGGTTATCAGCGCATCTAATTTACGGGGTGATCCAAAAGTCCTGCACAACAGCACGACACATATTTAACCCCTGGGGTGCTTGCCTCTTCTCTGGGTATGGTCCCCGTAAAATTTCGAGCATTCCCGAAAGTCGTTTCCTATGGCCTAGGATGGGTGACAAATTCTATGTCTGAATTTGTTTAAAAATTACAGGCGTGATGTCAGAAGTTCTGATGCTGGTGGCGCGGGGCTTTTGGATCAACCTGTATGGGTTATAGGTTGAGGTGCTGACTGACCTGATAAACGTCTGATGAGTTGATGTGCGTGGGCGTTTGGACAGGGAGCGGGATGGAGCCGATAAGGGACCATCCGTGAGCGATGGACTTGAGGAGCTGGAGCCGAGTGTACTCGGAGGGAACATCCGAGAGGTGCACCTCCAGATCTCCCGTCAAAGCCGTGTAGTTGACCGGGACTCGAATTTCCAGGCATGCACATGATTTATCTGCACCCCGAAACCAAAACACATATCTTTATTTTTAGTATATGGATCGACTGGAGGTCATTAGCTACCCAAGTAGAATTTTTCAATGTAAAAATTGTGACATATTGAAATTGAGTTGCGATATTTTTGCAATTTTCAGGCGATAAAATCGCTGGGATCATCAACATATCAGCGATTATCTTCGATCTTGTTGCCTTTTTATATCTATCAAATGGCGTTCGATAAAATCGAAATTGTATCTCAATTTATCACGATTTTTTGTTCGATTATATTGCGATAAATCGCCACACAATTTTAGAGGTAGATGCGATTCTATAAAGTTAGAAGCTATCGGTTTTTTCACGATCCAACGAACTAAGTTGATGTTGTTGTTTTTTTTTTTTTTTTTTTTTTTTTTATCGAGCTTCAAATAGCCTAATTGGCTAATTCCACGCTTACCACCAGCCCCAGGCGACCATTGTCTGAGACCATCATACTCAGGTCACCTGGCCGGGAATCGAACCCGGGACCTCTTGGTTATAGGGCCAGCGCTACAACCCACTACACCACAGGAGGCCGAAAAAAAATGTAAATGATGGGGGGGGGGGNGGGGGGGGGGGATGAATGAATGATGTAAATGTAAATGTAATGATGGATGTATAAACTAATACCTAGCACTTCAAATGACAGATGAAATAAAAAGCTAAACACTTTTATTGTAGGTGCGACGGACCTGTGGGGCTGGAGCAGAAGAAGATGAGAACAGCCCAGCTGTAAAGGAATGCAAGCTTCATAGCAGTCTTGCATGGTGCGAAGACAGTCTCTCCATCGATACAATCGGGGGTTTCAATTCAATATTCCTGTAACAAATGGAAACGTTGTTAAAATTACAACTGAACCAAAAATATCGTGGTTTCTGACCTGTAAACTGTGGACTGATACGAATAAATGATTATGTTTAAAAAGGGGGAAATGGACTGGGGTTGGTTCATAGTGCGCGATAAAAGTGTGCTCTTTCAGGCATATCGCGATGGGTAAAATGTCATACTATACGCTCGATGGGAACCTACCTAGCATACTTAATTTATTAAAGGAAAAGCTACTCAACGTCAATTCTTTGAAACCTCCATGATTTTTCCTCTTTACGCGATGAAAACTCCGTTAAAACTTGAAGACATGATATTCATATGTACTCCTACAAAAAAATAAAATGGGAGCGAAAATTTTTAAACACCGCAAACGAGATACGTGGTGTAATAATTTCACCGTCGATAAGTCTAATTACTTATATTTGCTTGTTCTGGGTTACTAGCGGCGTGTGTACATATGTTAGTCCATAAGTATGGCACTGTAGCTTCATCCTATAGTCCAAGCGCCTGGTAACTAAAAATGCGAGGCTACCTGGAATTTCGGGTACACAGCTATTTTTTTGGCTCCTGAATGTGTTTTGGGTAGCTGAATCCGAGTTTGAAGTTTCCTTACACATGTCTGGTGTGCTTTTTCCGCCATTTTGAAAAAATGGCATAAAAAAGCTTTTTTGCGGTTTTTTTAATATATAGTGGGTACGTGAGAGAAAAATCTCGGATCTAGGTAATGTTTCAAATAGCTAACATGATTCTGATTAACATGGTATATAAATACGCTAGGTTTGCTCGAAAATTGAGGAGCCTCGGAATTCGGAACTTCGGAGCTTCGGAACTTGGCGGACCGCGGCGAGCCGAACCGCGCGTTGACGGGTGCGCCGCGAAAACGTGAATGAGCGCGATGTTCACGATGCTGTATCTTCCTCAATTTTTGAACAAACCTGGCATATGTATATCCATTTTCTTTCAAATTACGCCAAGTATTCAAAACATGTATTGAATCTGGGATTTTTTCTCTCACGTAGCCGCTATTTTTTTTAAAAAACAAACAAACAAACAAACAAACAAACAAACAAACAAAACCGTAAAAAAGGCCTATTTAGGCAATTTTTTTACTATGGCAGCGAATGCACGTCACACATGTGTAAGGAAACTTCAGATTCGGATTCAGCGACCCAAAAAACATTAAGTAGACCAAAAAATAGCTGTGTGCCCAAAATTCCAGGTAGGTACACTTACTAGGCGCCTGGACTACTAGGAGAGCAATGGGTTATGAGACATTAATACAGTTAGCACAGTATTTGACGGTTTTACCTTCAATGGTATATTGGTGATATATCTAAAGCGCGGCGCAGTTTTTTCCATGTGGTCGTCGAACCAATATCTTTGAAGCTCACCGAGAAGATGAATTTGGATTATTAGAAAAAATTTTAAACATTAAAACTACATATTATATTTTATGAAGCATTACCTACGGGTAGGTGCCTAAATATGACAACTTGTAAGGAGAATAGCAGAGTTATTCGCCTTTCATCAGGCGGAATTTTTTTTACGATTCCTTCCCGGGTGTTTCTAAAAAATTTTGACGCTCACAGCTCCTGACTATTATTGAACGCAATAACCATGGTTGAAATATGGAGTCAAAGGCCTTCTGAAAATCAATAACTGTCGTTAGCAGCCTTCTTTGTGTTCCCTTTTGCGTGTCCTAATACCACTCACTTAACGCGACTAGTTCCTTGGAACAGCCTTTGGCGCCCAATCGGCACCCCTCGTGCTCCCCGTTGATTTTATCACGGTCCCTATAGATTTAACCTATAATTATACCACCATTACTACCTTCCCGCCAACACAGCCACCAGCCACCTCCATCGTCGAATAGGTACTTCATCTTGATCTTGGATAAAATTGGAATTAATTTCACCGAATGATCGATCCGAACCTTTCACTTCGTTGTTTCCTATACCGAAGAAGTAACTCCATTCCAAGATTGTAAAATTAACGCAAGAAATTCAATTTTTTCAAGAATGTACCGGCCATATTTCCCTCTAAAATTGCTCTGATTTTCGTATAGGTAAGGTCAGGAGAAAACTCAGAGAAAAATTCAATTTGAAATTCTCAAGTGGAAATTTGGCACCATTGATTTAGTTACGTTCTTGGGGGAAGAAATGAATCTCGCGTACCTAAACACACCCGCCCTTCCTCTTTCGGATGGCGTGAAACGAAGCATCTTATAAGACATTGGACATTTCGGTGAAATCTTTCATTTCACGAAGGCTCTTTTCTACGACAGTTTTAGAAAGTATGAAAAATTTATTTAAGGGGCGCACTCGCACTGAAAAAAACACCAAACAACACAAAATATCCTTATTTTTTCGTCCAGTTGTAGATTTGGAATTTTTACTCATTTCTTTCTTCTTTTTTTTCGAAAGAAGCAAAACTGCCACGAGTTGCAGCGAATAGAAAATTTTGACCGCGTTTTGATCCTAATTGTTCAGTGTGAACTGACGATCCACAATTTCAGATAATATGTATTACCTCTCATATATTTTTAAACATTTCATAGAATATTTCGCGTAAAATTTCACAATTTTACCCGATGAAATTGTCATTTTTTTCCATGATATGGGAATATTTCTACATCATTTGGTCAATAAATGCCGATTTTGGACAATCGATAAAATGTGTGCCACGTGTGATAAGTAAGGATCACCTATACCTACGCAATTTGCAATGCAAAAAAAAAAAAAAAAATTGGAACTCTACAATTCAATGTAATAACTTTCAATAAGAGTCCCTTCAATTAGTGAGTAGGCAACCTAGAAAACACTCCTATACCAACTCGATAATTTTACCTTGTAACATTGGACTTGAGTGCAACCTGTGTCACTTGAGTAATTTCAATCATATCCACTAATATCTTCGTTAGTCTTGAAATGCAAACAGAATATTCTGCTAACAGAAAAAAAATAAAGGGGGTTTTCAAGAAATTCCGTTGACTATAGTTTTGCTAAAGGAGGAAAAAATTATGACAGGAAGTCTCCAACGTCATAAACGGAGATACTTGGTTCCGCACTTCGGCAATCAACAGGAAATCCCGCAACGTCGAAAATCGAGAAACGTGTGTTTGATCATTTTCACCACCGACACACGTTTTATAATCCGCACAACATCTCAAGCCGGAGATGTCTTTTGAACCTTAGTCAACAATATAATTATGGAACCAGTATGTACCTATCACCAAAGTAGCACGGATTGCAATAATTGTGAATACGCGGTAAAATCATTGCTACTACATCGGAGTTTGGTGTATGTTGCCTATCTACTAATTGAAGGAGCGCTTCTTATCGGAATGTATTGCAATAAAATTGAAATAAATAGCAATTTTTATTGCATTTCTTCATTACATTCCACATTGCCTGTCTTTCTGACACATGAAACTTCGCTTTGTTGATTGTTTTAAAATCGGCGTTTAATGACCAAATGATGCAAAAATATTGCGAATTCATGGTAAGAATAAAATAATTGCAATAAATCGCAATTTCATTTTACTTAATATTTTCATTGTTCCGCGCTACGACCAAAAACTCGTCTGGTAAAGAGAGTACTCCTGTGGACTAAGTACTGTACACAAACCTGCTTCAAATCTTGCAGCCTGCCACACTTATTTTGGTGTCAACCGAGTATTTCGACAACTAGCAGCGACACGACGAACCGAACAGACTATTAAAGGGATATAGTAATTGAATAATAATAGATGCTAATTGGAATACGATCGGGTACGACGAGATAATAATCCATTGTAAGAACGGGAAAAAAACGTGACGGTCAAAGCACTATGGTAGGAGGGCGCCTGGAACACTGAGTGACTGAACCGAGAGACGAAAACACGGAAACACGCGTCCCCTAGCGAGCGTCCCTTCAATCGACGCCATCCCCCTCCGCCCTGCCGCCCCTGCGAACCGCGTCGCGATGCCTGCCACCCACCCACCTCTCTCTCCATCCCCACCCCTCTTACACACCCCGAGCCCCGACGACATAATTTTCCCTCACCTCGCCACGCCACCAGCACCAACCACCCGCGGACCGATGAGATCGACGCAACCCCCAGCGTCCCGACGCCTAACCGCCGCGCCGCAGCGTCCACACCCACCCACGGCGTCCGCAGCCCATGGCGGAGGGGTGTATTCGAAGGAGTGATAATCGAACAATCGATGATCGGGAAATCTTCGATCGTGCGTTTAGATTGGGAACGATCGATCTATCGAACTTGAACCGTCGCGTCGTGATGAGGCAGTAACATAGATGCATAATGGAATTTTAAGGAGTGATGATCCATTTCGCTGAAAAGTGAAATTTCATGTACTTATTTCCATGATATTTCAACGATTTTGCAAGGCCGCATGTGTGCAACCCGAACCAATTATCCGAGAATTCCATAAGAAACTTTGACATTTTTTAAGTTTCACGAAATTTCATAAAATTTCAGAATTGCAGGTGCGCTCGAAATGCAGCAAAATAACAGGTTTGGGGATGAAAAGTATTGAATTAGGCACAGGTTTGGGTGTAGAATGAACACTTTCCAATCCCCCGAAGAAAATTTGGTCAAACCAGACCAAAAGTATTAGTGATGCTTTTATAAGCGTTTGGAGTGAATTATTCCCATACGACTGGCAACACCAATAGCAAACGGTGACAGCGGTCTCCTCAAATTCCCCGATTTCCGTCCTCAAACTTAAAACTGTCGTCAATTTTTGGAATATTTAAGTAAGTAAGTGCTCTTTGCGCCAAATGATAGAGAATGGGCCCTTCTAAGCTAGGTACCCAAGTACAGCACAGAAAAGCAATAAAATATTGAAATAATTTTGCAATTTAAAGCAATAAATTCTGATTTTTTTTACGATAATTGCAATAGGTTCACATCATTTGGTCAATAAACGCCGATTTTGAACGATTAATAAAATAGATGCCATGTGCGAGAGAGATAGGTAACTTGCGATGAAAAAAAACTGCAACTTAATTGAATTGCATTACAAAGTAAAGAGGAGCCCCTTCAATCAGTGAATAGGCAACGTGCACAACACTCCGGCACAGTATCATTACTACCATAATTGCACCATATACCTAATTGCAATTAATTAAAATTTATGCTGTGTATACACCTACTTGTGTTGATAATCACCATTCATTATCTTATTTTTTTCTTCTTTCTAGAAAATATGAGTAATCAGGACATTCCATTAGATTTTAGCAATTACCGTTGCGATAGGTTTATTATAAATTATTAAATCATCCGTTGTGAAAGAATGTCTAGGTAGGTACTGCAAAAACTGTAATTTTCAGATCATTCATAAACGGTCAAAGTACAAATCCACGCATATATCCATTGCAATGCTCCAACATTCCCGCTCCTCTTTTATTTTCTCGAAGAGAAACGAGCCAGAAAGGTCCCTTTCACCCCTTCTGACTTTTTCTATGATTAAGGTGAATATTTGAAACTTGGGAGATGTTCCTAGGTGAAAGGAAGCTACATTTTGCCCCGTCCACCTAAAATTTTCGGGGCGGCTCTCTCTATTGGGGAGGGGGGTAATGAACCTCAATATTTTGTCTAATGGGAAGACCCTCCTTGTGATATTTCGTTCGAAAGAGCATAAAAAAGTCAACTTTTCGAGCGAACCCGAAGTCAATACCTTAAACTGTTTCAAAATGGCGGTCGCTTAAAGTTCAAGTGGACCGAAAATTGACACCGGTTTTTGTCGATAGATTTGAGCGAAAATCGCGGTATCTGGCGGTATTTTGACAAGAGCAAAACGAAATCAGTCGTTTTTTCCTTTAATGAAGTACCTAACCCGCGCATCCACCACGGGTAGGAGAGTGTATTTCCCGAAGTGGGAGCAGAAAGTGTCCAAAACAACTAGCATAACAAAAAACCGTCAAAGAGAAAAAATCGTACCTAGAGATGAGGAAATTCAGCTATAGTGGGCCCCAGAACGGCCCTTATCGATACCTACCTTCTATTTCAAGATTTTATCTTCCCTCGAAATTTTGCAACCGTGGACCCGAGGCCCTCAGGTAATAAAAAACCAACTCCAAAGAGCTCTTCCGAGGGAGTGTAAGTTTACGTGGGGTAGTCCACTAGTTTTTACGTCCTAACTGACGTCACGTGACGTGATACCGGTCGTCGTGCGAAACGTCTCCTGTAACAGATGTCTTTGGATAAGTCATGCGTCGCATTTTAAACCTATTTATACTTTGCGACGAGCCTTACGATCCTCTCAACTCCTTCCTTCTCAGGGAGCATGTGAAAATAAAGATGTACGTCCTTATATCAGGTTACCCACAATTGGTATTCCTCCCCACCCTCAACGAGCGCCTGTGACCACTTCTTCCTACGTTTAAGGATTCCTTGAATAAGAAAGAAACAAAAAACTCATATGCACTCCATTTCGACCTCGCATAAAGTCTTTAGTACTTTGCAATAACAAATTTACATTTCTCTATTCATCCTGCTATTCCTATAACTTACCTACTTTGTTAGCCAAATAAAGGAATACAAGTTGATACCTCTGATTTCGTTAAACTAAAGGGTATTTGAAAGATAACGGTTTCTGGAATTTTCATTTTTCGCGTTTCCTCAAATTTGCCGCCACGTTGAATTTTCCGAAATTTTACTTTGAAACAATACCATCCAAACTTGTGACAACATCAGTTGTTTTTCCTTCTCCTAAAAGGCTTTTTTTCAAATTTTTCAGTCCTGGTTTGTTTGTAATTTTTCGATAATTTGGAGCTCAACAGCGATTTTTTGAAAAGTGGTCAATTTAAAATTTTGACCGGCTGTAACTTTTGAACGAGTTAACCGATTTTAATTTTATTTGCGTCATTTTTCCTGTCTTTTTAAGTTCTTTTTAGCCATGTCTAAAAAAATGGGGGTTGCTTTTTGAATTTTTAAAGTTTCTATGTTTCTATATGAAGATTCACTGTATTAAATTTTCTTATGTTTTAAATCGTTAAAAAATGCCGAAAAACCCCAAAAAAAAGAAAGAAAAAAAAATTATTGCAAATATCTCTGCTCAATTTTCTGAGTCCATTTACCATGACTAGTGACTAAAATGAACAATTTTCGGAATTTGTCGTTCATAATCTGCACATTCGAAGTGCAATTTCCCATGCACTTCCATTACAAGTGGGCTAAAGTATGGCATACTGCTACACAGGTTGCCTGCCCTGCGGCGCTGCAGGCGACTGGGGGTCCGCTTCTTTCCTACGGCAAGTCTACGGCGCGGCGTGCGGTATCTGGAGTCCTTGGTAATCTTTGGTCTTCATCTTACAATTTCGGTTCCTTCTCATTTCCGCTTTTCACATTCAAGTGCCGGTTGTTAATTTCCTTTTCCTGTTCCACTTTTGACCTTAGACCTCCGGGTTTTACTTCCTTTTTCCGGTTTTAACCTTCCCCTTTTCATCTTTCATTTACGATTTTTACTTCCTGTTACCGGTTTTGATCTTCAACTTCTGGTTTTCATTTCCCTTCTCCGGTTTTCACCTCTTTTTCAAGTTTGCACTTTCCGCTTCCGATTCTCTCAGGGAACATATGAGTTCTCGATTATTGTTTACAGATAGTTCTTAGGGTTACCTATGACTTCATTAACCTTATTAGATTATTGATTTCAGTCTTCAGATATGATTGAATACTGATAAAAACATCTCGGTAAGGGGGGGGGGGGGGGTGTGAAATTGAGGTCTTCTGAAGAAGAATGCATTGATTTTTCGCACTTAAGTATTCAATTCAAGTATCCCCTATTTGGGTAAAAAGACTTTACATCAATTATGAAAGTTTGAATATTAATGGCAATGTTTCACAACCCCCACTATCGTACAATTTTCTTAAAGAGAGAAAAGCAAAGGTACATTATTGTTTGAACTTTTGATACGATATTTTTTGTATGGTGGAGGAAAATTCGTAAAAACATTAAGAAATCATTTTCCTTGAGAAAAACAAAGTATGACAAAAAATTTGCAATATTCCAAATGAATATACATATGTTATTTTACTACCAACAGTGATGTATTATAGCACTTTCATTTTATACTTGTTGCCTTTGGAGGGGCACATTACAAAGGGTAGCCCCTTTACTATAACCTCACGTCATTTTCAAAGCTTTGTTTATGCTATTGCATGGAACCTGAGAAAATAACACAAATTTCACTTTATATTTTTTTTTTTATTTTTTTTTTTTTTTTGTTCTTTATGATAACAAATGAGTGAGAGTAAAGGTATGACTAAAAAACATTAAAAAAGCTAAAGAAACAACAAATATTTAGATGTACAATTAACAGTAATGCCTCCTAACCCGACATTCCAAAGTGGTAAACGGCTTCTAAAAAATAATTGTTGTAGTGCTCCATTGAAAATCACTGCTCTAGATTCTAGAGCCAGTATGTATTAGAAAATAATTTTCGTTACCTAATATCAAATCTGATAAGGGCAAACAGATGAGTGGAGCTAACACATGCCACAGGAATTAGAAATTTTAGTACTCATCCGTGAGTAAAATTTTGCGAGAAACATGATGGTGCCACAGGTTTCCTCTAAACTTGACATTTACGTTACAGTGAGAAATGTCCCGTTAAACTCTCCTTTCATACATAGAGAACAAATACATTAGCAATGTTGCCACTTTGTTTTGGGTCTTTACAGCCTAAATCACGGCAATCAAATTTTACATGAGAAACAGTACTTAAATCTCCAATTCCTGGGGCATGCAAGAGCTCCATTTGGAAGAGATTTTGCTTGATTTTAAGAATCAATTTGAAGAATAAATAATAAATTGGATGAGTTGAGTAAAATTACCCGAATTGACAATGCATATTTGAAGGCTGAAACTTTCTCCAATAAGAAAAATTAAGGAGTGTCATTAGGACACTGATTTTTACTTAACTTCATCAGATGGCTTCATTACTTTTGGGCATTTGATACATATTTTTCGGATTTTTTATTATTTAATTTTTGTTTTTTGCATTAAGACTAAATTTTGCAGACAAACTTGCACCAGACTAAATTTTCTGCTGGCATAGCAGGGTTATACACTCCAAAACTTTAAAACTAAATTGCTGGTCAAGAAGTGTGCAGAGAGAAGTCCTAATCCAGACTGAAACTCATTGTTAAATGTACACTTAAATAGTAAATAATGGGTATACTTTTATAACCTTCTTGAAGTAACAGTAAAAAAATTGACTACATTAAAAGTGAAATGAAACTTATAATTTCATCATTTTTCAGATGCTTAAAATGGTAAGTTACCAAAAAAGAAAAAAAAACCTCCTGCAATGAGGAACTACAATGTCTGGTTACGTTTAGAAACACCATAAATGCCATTACTTTTTTCAATAGATGGGTGGTTTTATGGATGAGCCAAAAAAAGTAGTTCCTTATTTCAAAATGTAGTTCATTCACTTTTTGAGAAAAGTTATCTAATTGATCGTTTTCTGGATTTTATTTTCATTGACGTATTTTGACTCAAATAAAAATAGCTTGATTTGCAAGTCATGTACATCTCCATAACTAGGTGCCTCACAATCATTGAGGCAGTAGAGCAGGGTTGTGATAAAGAGGCAATTTCCTGCCTATGCTTCGCGAAGAAGTACATTTACATTAAATTGGCAAATAGGTTGAATTGTTCTGCCAGGCATATGTTCATCAAATGGTTACATTTTAAGTATGTTAGAGAAAGAGAAATATACAAAACTGCTTTTTTTGTACTCAAACATGAAGCTAGGTGTACAATGTGCCAGTAAAAAAAATCTTATGGAAATTTCTCAAACTGTTAAAGTAAAATAAAAGTAATAAAAAATATTTAAATAAAAAAAATATATAATGAAGATAATATTTAAAAAAAAAAATTAAATATTTGATTATTGTTGCAGTTTAACGCACACAGGAAAAATATAACGGAGTATGTCGATTACCCAACCACTAATTTTCTGACGCTTCGGTTGTCTGACATGGTTAAAATAGAGTTTTCGGTCAAAGCCAATGTGACAGAAACCAATTTTTTGCGGTTTTTTGTTTTTTATTCCTCAATTAAATGACAAAGATTTACGGATGCGAAAAAATATTGGCCAAGCTTTGTTTCAGGTTACGAACAAAGCCTGAAATACTATTTCTTTTTAGTCTTTCTTTGGTGGATTCCATTATCCTACTGTTACAATACTCAACACTGCCTTTGCAACAAATCGTTGGAGAGACCATCCACATGAAAAGGGACTTGAGCCCACAAAAACTAAAACTTAAGCTATTGATACCAGAGTACAAGAAGAGTTCTATGAGCAATTTGAGACAGAAACTATTTAGAAATACTCAACTGGACCAGATTCATGAGAGTTTGAAGTTCACTGTTACAAAAAGGCCTTTTTTAAAGGAAGCAATTTAAAGTTTCAAAATCCATGTTTAAAGAACTGTAATGCCGGATTAGAATGCAACTATAATCTCTCTGTTTGCACAAAAATGAACTACTTAAAACCACTTGCACATTTTTTGGGACACGAGAGAGTTTTTCATTCAAATCTTAAAGTATGATTATTCGACCTAACTTCCTGACAAAAATCTCTCTTATGGAAATTTCTCTGGTGTTCAAGAAGGTCCTTTTCCCTGCATACAGTTATATTGTACAAAAAACTTCTGGGACTTAAAAATGTGAAATGAGACTGCAAGCTCTCTTGTGCCTGCATAACTTTTAGAGTACTTCCTTTTGAATAATAAGTATTTTGTGCACAGTTGAATGCACAACCAGGTAAAAAAGTTGATTCAAACAAACTTGGTAATAAACCTGAGTTTATTGACTAGGGATTGGTTGACTCAAGTAGAACAAACCCACGGTGTACCTTCCTCAATACTTTCCTAGTGAGGAAATTTCTAAACATTTCATTTGACATTTTAGGTTCAATTGGGCAAACTTAAATTGAATTTGGTTGATTCGATTGCTCACTGCAAGTATTATTATTGCAACCACATTACAGTTTGGTAGGGATTGACTTAATCTTTGACCTAGAATACTATTGACAAGGGTGGAAGCCTCATAGAATATCATTAACAGTTGAATTTGGAATTTAAAAAATTATTACCATGCGCAAGTTCAGAAACCTTTTCTGTTCTTTCTTCAGTAAAAATTTGTATGAAATTTACATTAAAAAAAATTGGCGTCAAAATTTTGTTGAAATGTAAGAATTGCTCATATTGATGGTAGATACAGCAGTAACTGCAAAATATGCGATATGAAAAACTAAAATTCTAGTACAAAAAATTAATGACAAATATTTGGTAAAATTTACTGAAATAAAGAGATGAAAAACCTTGTAAAATTGCAAGGTGGCATTTTTACATTTAAAAAGAGCAAAAAGGCTTTTCTCATTAGGATATAGGTATTAACAGTTTTTTAGGTGATTTCATTTTGAATTTTACAAGTTTTTCAACTTCTTTCATTAATAGCCAAAGATATTGAGGATTGCACGAGCATCAACTTCATCCCAGTCTCAAAACTACAATTCTGATACCTAATCCTTATCTTATACAGATACGTTCTACCTTCAATCTCTTCTTGTAAAAAGTCTTCTTTTGAATAAACGGGTTCGATTACAAAAAAGAGATACATTATTCTTCATCACCAAAACCAAAAAAAAAATCTGAGAATTGCCGAGATCACAGAATTTTGCCTCTCAGATGTTACAACATGAGACACCTCAGAAAATGCATCGCGCAATTGCTTGATTTTTCTTTCATATTTACATTGTACATAAGTAAAAGCAAATACCTACATGAAGAGGTCAGATTTGAAAAGGACAGTTCTTAGGAGCTAGCAACAAAAGCTTGCTCTCGCAGCTTCCGCTTCCAAGTAGTTATAATCTGTTGTTCTAGTGTTTAGACCGACAAAGCCAGGTTTTATGCCATCCCACCCCTCTTCGACTTTGTATTCTCCATTCTGGATACGACTGTAAATCTGCAAATGAAAATACAGAGAAATTTTTTTAACTCTTCAATCTATACAGGGTGTTCCAGAGTTGAATAGCCCTACTGCAGGAGCGTGCTATCATCTTGCTTGATGCAATAAAAATGCCTTACTTTACCCACAGAACACGCTCCTGCAGTATGGCTATAAAACCCTTAGACACCATGTATAATTAGCTGCGGAGCATATGAAGAAAATGGAAATATATGAGCTTGGCTCTTGCTAGCTTGCTCAAGTTCTTTACATTTAAAGAGGCTCAAGTGTTTACAACTTGAGAGCTTTGAAAGTCGTACTAAGGCTCACAAGTTTTGGTCACTTGGGCTTTCCTAAAAAATCAAGGCATTGCTCAATTTTGCATGAATTATAAGACTTTTCCATGATTTCCATTCAGATACTTTTTGACTAAAAAATAGAAAACCTGGAACCTCATGGGTGATGGAGCATTTTGATCAGCTGATGAGCTGACAGCCAATAGAACACCCATGATCAAAAGATTATTTGCACATTTCCAAGTTCAAGTCATTATAAATGCAATATGTGCCAACGTTTTTCATTGTTCGAGGACTTTTGATAGTCCGAAATTAGATAAAAAGATTCAAGGTTTTTCAAGGGGTTTACCGCAAACCGATTTTTATACCCCTAGATAGCAATTTTTTTGGTTGAGAACTGGACTTGATTTCCCATATTTTATAAAGAGGAGGAGGAGGAGGGGGGGGGGCAACATCAGTAAAGAAACTGTTTTGTACTGAAGCACTTTGCTTTGCTTAGAATTAAAATTAAAAAAAAATAGGAGGAATAGGAATTTACAGGTAAGGATTTGCCAATATGGACAGAAGACTGGAGGTGGGTTTTTAAAGTTGGACTGAAATTTATCAAAAGAACTGTTTCTAGATTAGAAGCATTTGAGTCTTCTGTATCTCTGTCTATCACCTTATCAAGTCATTAAGTTGATGGGTATGTTTTCGATTAAAAATAATTCAAAACAAAGAACTGGAGCAAAGTTGAACTTAAAAAAAAAGGAAGAAAAATGTGATGAGTACAAGAACAATGGATGAACCTTTTGAGCGAAGGAGTTGAGGGTTGGATGAACATGACATGGCTAGTGGACTAAAGTGGTCTTCATCTTTAAAAAGACTCTGTGAATGAAATATCAAAGGTTTTCAACCTTCCATATTTTCTCCTACAAATGAAATTTAATTCCATCGAACTGAAAACACTCACCTCTTGAGCTACTACAGCGAATGCTTTTTCAGCATTGTACCCTGTTTTTGCTGATGTCTCTATATGGAATAAATCATATTGCATTGCAAATTCTCTGACTTCTTCTTCAGAAACCTGGCGTGGAGTTCCTGTTTTGACTAAATCCAACTTACAACCAACTAATGCAAAAACAGGCCGATGAGGTTCAATGTGATTCTTGGCTTCCGCCATCCATAGGGGTATATTTTCAAAACTCGTCCGGTTGCAGACATCGTAAACTAAAAGAGCACCAACTGAATTTCGGTAGTAACACTTGGTTATGGAACTGAAAATGAAGAACATATACTTTGGATGAGTTATACTTGGAAAAATATCTTCATTTTTTTTAAAATGTAGGCACACTCCGGCAGGAGTCATTCGGACGAGTTGCACAGTCAATACCTTGACTGCGCTTATTCATTTGTCAAAATGTCTTCCATTGTGGAAATTTTTTTGCTGAAATTACTCCTTCTGCACCATGTAGTACTTTGTATGGAAAATTTGTTTACTGTTGGTGAAAGCATACGCAAGGTTGATTTAGGCATCAAATTTCTTGGAACAAGTTGCCTGGAGCAACACTATCCTGCATAATTCATTAATTTTTGAAACGTTCCTCATTACCAGACAGTAAATCAATGTAAATTTCTTTTTTTTTTTCACTTCAAATATCCCTGAAGGGATAATCTCACGTTTGCAGTCCCTAAAATCCCATCTCCCCTTAGTCCCTAATCAAGCCAGCCGTAGGTAATCGTTGTTTAAGACCATCAAACTAGGGTGACCTGGCGAGGAATCGAAGCCGGGACCAAGATCATTTCATCATAAAGCAAGAGCTCCACTACACAACGGGAGGCAAATGCTAGCTTACTTAGCTAGAACAAATTCTGTACATAGGTAACTTACACAAAAAACTCACCGAAACCTTTCTTGGCCTGCAGTATCCCATAACTGTAACTTTATTTTTGCACCATTTTGAACTTCAATTAGTCTAGCGAAGAAATCTACCCCAACAGTTGGATCAGAGACCTGTGGAAATAAGGTAAAAACATACATTACAGCTGAGAAAAAAACCAAATTACTTAAAAAATACATAAATGATGCACTCGGTCGGTAAAGATGATCTTGTCATTAGGCCAAAGTTATTAATGGCATTAGTGACCTTATACTGTGAAGTATCGTCAGATAAATTGGATTGGATTTAGCAAAAAGGAACCAAGAGCATTACAGTGTTGCTGAAGTTGTGCAACTACTTTTGTCTTTGAAGAAAAATCTAATCATCCATGACAGTTTATATTTTACACACTAAAAACTGTAAATTACAGACAAAAATTACCATGTAAATTCCATATATCGACGGTGAAACTACCAAACCACGTATCTCGATTTGCGACGTCGCAGACTTCCTGTCATACTTTATTTTTTAAATGAAAAACTACTTAACATCCAGTCTTGAAAATTTCTGTGATTTTTCCTCTTTGTGCGGAAAAAATTCCGGGAAAATTTCAAGGAATGATATTGATTTGGTCTACTTCAAAAAAATAAAATGTGAGCGTAGATTTTTAAACACCGCAAACGAGATACGTGGTTTGGTAGTTTCACCGTCGATATTTGCATGATTACAGTAGTTTCATTGCTGAGGGTGGAGTTGCACAATCAAGCAACATGGCAATGCTCCTGGTTCATTTTAGCAAAATGCAATCCAATTGACATTTGTTTACTTATGGTTCACTGGCGTTTTTATGTCACTATTATCCACATGAAAACATCAGACTCTCTCAGAAGCAAGGTGTCAAACTAACTTAAGCTTGGATAGGTTTTTAGATACTTTCAAACCTTGTAACAGTTTAATTTTTAGCCACACAGTAGGTAATCACAACCACATGAAGGTCGCGGATCATAACTGGTAAGTGGTTTATTTACAATGTGATCATGAGACAGATATTTTCAGGGTGCATAGTAGCAAGCAACGCTCTGTGCAGAGGCGTAAATTTGTTGTCAGCGCCTGCAAATCAAAAGGAAACAAATGTCAATTAATCTGACAACACCTTTACTTGGTTTCTTAATTACACTGTGACCTACAACTAAAAATTTGAACATTCAAATACTTCAGAAGTTTCTCTTCTCTTAATTGATGATAATTGCTACCTTACGTAATTAAGTAATTATTACGTAGTAATTAATTATTACTAAACCAATTGTCCATAGCAGAGAAAATAGTGCAGAAGATGCCCGTTCTTGTGATCCTAGGATTAGGATAACTACACAGATATGAGAAACAATTGTCCAAAGTAATTTTTCTTTCCTTCTCGCTCAAATCTTTGAAAAATTGAGAGATAATGTTCGTTTAACCACGACATTGGGCCCAGCCTTGAGAGAAAATATTTGGCCAAAGAGGCAAAGCCTTACAAGAGGATACTTCTTGGCCAAGGAGGCAAATCGGCAGTAGGTATGACTGATGTCAAAAAAGGCAGATCGCAGCAAAAGGTCACTACTTACCAACTTTCTGCACCCCTACTGCAGGAAAACAGGAAAGGGAGTGGTGGTAGAGTGGCGAAGTGCTGGAAATACCAGAATTTAGTCTTCACAAAGAGGGGTAGGGTAAAAAACTGAATGTTCAGTCCTATGATTCTTGTTCACATTGCCCAATTGGTCATATTTAAATCTAACGGAACTGAGTCCATTCCGATTCGAGCCTTGAGACCCATAAAAATCGTACATGACGTCAATGCATGCAATCAAGTCAAAATGGAAATAGTTTTTTTTTTTTTTTTACTTTAATTTAAATGCATCTAATTAACCGTGTGTCCACCAAATTCCGTAGTCAAGGAACTTGACTGTTAAACAATATTTCCTAATGCACAGGATGCTGCTTCATCCACTGAGTTAGATTAAAGTTGATTGGATATTTATAAGGTAGATCAATTTATCAATTTTAAGTACATATGTCCTTGGTGATGATAAATAGGAGCAGTTGAGATGTACCAGATGTGATATCGTTCTAGAGAACTGTATGAGGTCTTCAGCTGAATTGAATTCAACTAGCTAATTATTCAGATCAAAGAAAGAAAAATAATACTAAGTAATAACTACAGTAATAACAATGCCAAACAACGATAATTCTCGGATTCCTAAATGGCACCTCAGGGAATAAAATGAAGACGTGAAACATGTACGTAAGGTAGAATCAATGATACAACTTATCTGTTGGAATGAAATGTATGATTACCTCTGAAAATCTGCCGTCTGTGAAGTACTTTAAAAGGGAGCTTTTGCCCACTGTGCTATCACCAATTAGAATTAACCTAAATTGGTAGTCAAACATGGGGTCAACCATCCTTCTGGGACAATGAAAATATTTGCTCTGTGCACTTAAAATTAAAATGCATTTAATAATGCATTTATTAATGGTTAAATATTAGTTCATTTACATATAAGTAATGAGTAAATTATTGTCACTCGTCATGTCGCGACACATAAGAAACCTGGTAGAACTAGAAAAACAAAAACTCAAAATACATCTCAATAACCTCGTTGTGTCATAATCAGGGTTTTTGCGTTTGGCCCAGATATTCCAGACCAAATTTTCATCAAAAACCAAAGTCTGTCATCGGTGTCAAACTCGCTCCTAATGTAAACAAACGAACGGCGACATAGTCCGGACATAAACAAAGCGGACCCAGAGCGGACTTCCTCGAGATGTTCCAGACTCAATTTCTCAGCGTTAGCGTTTCTTCACCTCGACAAAAGAACTTTCGTCCGCGTCCAACATTTAAGTATCCCTTTCGTAAAATCAAATATCAGTTACCCCGTTGATCTGTTCATGGTGATTTCAAGTGAAATTGCGGCGAGATACTCCAGACTCCCAATGTAAACAAAGCGGCCTGTGCCTGGTCGAGATG